AGCCTACAAGAACTATTTGTGTAGATTTCAAATGTATCCCTTCTTAGAAATGAAGAGGCACCTACTTTGGTTTTATGGACTATACATCTGTCAAAGTTAAGCATGATGAAAAGGAAGGCTGGAGATTGAATCAAAACATGGGGAAAGATCTTCTCTGTCCTCTGGCCATTGATCTTTGTAGATCTACCGAAAGTTCCTGGTGAGAATATGACCCTGAACTTGTTCTCAGGCTTTGCCTCTGGGCAACCCAGAAATTTTAGCCCCCTAGGGAAGACCAAATATTTTTGTTAGCATCAACTACTTAGTAACTGTAAGTTTTGAATCATGAGTAAACAAAAAAATGGTTTTCACGAGGGCAATTTAGAAAAAAAAACAGGTAGATACCAGAAAATTTTTAAAGTTACTACTAATCTAAAATGAAAATTTAATATTCAGTGATAAAATACTGCACACATATTACATTTTCAGTTTCTTTTCTTGTGTTTTAAACCATGTTTGTTGACAGCAAAATATAAGCATCAAGTCAGAAATTTAGCCATCAGGTAATGATTTATTAGAATGTGGTGTATCTACTGGAGAAAATACACTGCAGCGGTTAAACATTAAGAAGACCATTTAATAGGCCTGAGAAAAGTTTTTAATATAAACCAGAAAGAAAGAGCTGGAATACATGACTGTACATATATTATGTTTTCAATTATGTGAAAAATATGGATGCTTACAGAAAAAAGATTAAAGGATTATAGTTAATATAATCCTGTTATATTATAGCTAATATAATATGGCTGTTCTAGGGTCTGAGACTGAGTTACAATTTTTTTAATGTACTTTCTTCCAAAATGTTACTTTATTATTATTAAAGCTTAATAACAAGCTCTTTTTTTAAAAGACACTTAAAATTATGTTTATTTGCTGTTTTAATATGCCTTTGTCCAAAAGGCACTCAGTTTTTAAATTGCCTTTGTCCAAAAACAATTATTTTTTAAGAACAATAGACGAAATCGAATGTCCTTATTCTTCCTAGAGATGAGTTATGTCAATTTTATCAAGTAAACTAATATTAAAATTAATATTACCAGTTTTTAGCTTTGGCTAGGTAATAAAATTATACATGTCAGATATTATTTAAAGCACAAAAAGTCCAAGTAAGAAAAGGGTACCTGTAAAGTAGAAACATTTATTAAATAAAACAAATTAAATTCTCAAATTTCCTCCATGAATTGGTTTTATTATGATTAGACTGAATTTTTAAAATTTACCACTTGACAGTAGGTCTTTTAGAGTTTTAACTGTGAAATGGACTTTGAGGAAAGAATTATATGTTTGGCTTCATTATAAACTATTATCTATTTGACGAGTAAGTATTTGAGAGAAAATTATCCTGACCAAGAAATATTAGGGAAAATTAAGGACTATTAAATGAAAAGAAAGGAAATATAACTCCAAAGGGTAAGGAACAAGAAAAACTGGAGGGGAAAAAATTTAAAGCTTTTAACTGGCCTGGAGATTTAGATTCCATTTAATTCTGCTGGATTGCCATTTCTGTTGTCAGTCTATAATCTTAAATGAACTAGTTCCTTAGTCTCAACACTATTTGACAACCTAACATTTAGTAGAGGTAAAATTTCTTTGATTTGCTGTAGACAGAATTCTGATGAGACAGCCAATACTTCTCTTTCTTGGGCTGCCTTTTACCTGCTTCCCTCTGCATTTTGAAGAACCCCTATATTCTATTTTGCAATCCCAGGAAACCTTTCCCCACTTTCTATCCTTGTCTTGTTATGTTTTTGCGCATTAGGACAACATCCAGTATTCCTTCCTTTTATTTCTAATTAACTCATGAGTGCCCAGTGAAAATTAAGAAAGTCTTCAATTGCATTAAAAGTTGTAAAATTTAAAATTATGCCCTTATGTTAGCTCATGTTACTGATGGAGGATGTCCAAGTTCTTGATCAAATAACTGGGCAAAATGCACAGAGCAAGGAAAGAATGACGTAACAAAAGCAGAGGTTTACTGAAAATGAAAGTACACTCCATAGGGTGGGAGCCAACTGAGCTTAAGGGCTCAAGAGCCTGGTTACAGAATTTTCTGGGGTTTAAATAACCTCTAGGGGTTTCCCACTGATTACTTGGTATACATGCTATGTATATTAAGTAGTGGTCCACTGTCAGTCTGATTGGTTGCAGGAGGGGACCAATCAGAGGCTGAAGTGAAGTTACAAAGTTACACCCTATGCAAATGGAGACTTTGCCCACGACCAGCCTGACTAGTTGTGGTTGTGGAAGGGGACCAATCAGAGGTATTTTCAATCTTTCATCTGCCAAATGCAGAAAAAGGTGGGGGGGTGAAGGGGGTACAAAGGGAGTAGCTTCTCGTCCTTTTGTTACTTGGGCATGGAAAGTTGGGGTTTTCCATTTTAGTTAGTTCTAGGAAGTTGGCATAAATCAGCCTTAGGCTCCCTACCTCCAAACTCTATTCTCCTGCCTCACCCATTCCCAGTTTTCTTTTATAAATGACCTGTCACATTATAGTGAAAGTCATCCAGCCAGGCATGGTGGTTCATGCCTATAATCCCCGTACTTTAGGAGGCCAAGTTGGCAGATCACTTCAGTCCAGGAGTTTGAGACCAGCCTGGGCAATATAGCAAACTGCTATCTCTACAAAAAATACAAAAAAATGTAGTTGGGTGTGGTGAAGTGAAAGAATTGCTTGAGCCCGGGAGGCAGAGGTTGCAGTGAGATCGCACCACTGCACTCCAGCCTGGGTGACAGAGTGATACTGTCTCAAAAAAAGAAAAACAAAACAAAAAAAAGCAAGAGAAAATAAAAATAGTCATTTTCCTTTGAAGCAACTCATGAAAATATTCAGAGAACAGAGGACACTCAACGTAGGAATTTATACCAGAGGAAAGTTGTTTAGTAATGTACTAAGTATATTACTAAAATATATGCCCCATACTAAAAGCGTATCACAAATACAGTAAGCAAGTGTCACTCTTTCTCAGCATAAGATCAGGCCATGCCACAGTTGGAGGCTTGGTAATCCTTGGATAGGAAAAGCAATAGAAATATTGATAAACACTTTTGTTCCCTATAAAACAGTATTAAATTACATTACAATTAAAGTAGCAATGAATATAGTGAACTTTACTTGGCCTGTATTTTCACTATAGCACTCTTACATCATTATATATTTTAATTGTGTTTAGAGATTTTCTTAACCCGATATACAGATTGGCTCATTTAATGAACCTGTAAAACTGCACATTGGTGGCCTAGGGAAATGGTCCTTCTAAAAGAGTTTGCCTTTCATTTCAAGCAGCAACTGCTACTCTAGAGGAGAGCAGTCAATTGGCATATTTTCTTTTCACTCATAGTTTTGGGTGTTAGAGCGCATGCAAAGTGCCTTTGTATTTTGGTTCACTGACTTAAGGTGCTCTGTGACTTCAACTTATAAATAACAAATGTAGACCTTGTTTTGTGATTGAAATGAGGGGCAGGTCTAGCTGACCCTTTTGATTCTCAAGCCCCTAGTGGTATGGATGATATTCATAACCTTTCTCAGCCTCATCCTGCCTGTGCTTTTTGAAGTAAACTATAATGTGTTGACATCCATGACCTGTTCTTTGCTAGCCATTCTTCAGCTCTAATGGACTTTGCTTATTCACAGAGGATGACACCTCTCTTGAACTCTGTCTCATTTCTTTTCCTTTTCAGATATCTCTCAGTTTTTCCCCAGCATGTTCTAAATCATTTTTGAACACCATAAATCTCTAATGTAGGAGATATTCCTAGTACCAAGGAATTTTGCTTTAAATTTGGTTTAATAGTGCTTTCGTGCTTTCCCCACTCCATAATAGTTTTAATGGCTCCAGATGAATGTTTGTAAGCCAGTCTATCTTAACTTTTATTATATTTCATACATTGTTTCCTAAAAAGGGATGAAACATTTTCATCTGTATGTATAAACAAGATGTAATTTTACAAATTAATCTATTATAGAAGTTGTTTAATTTTCTTCCCATTCTGGTTTCTCATTTCTGACTTTCATATTAGACTGTATTTACTGACGGTTTTAAAGTAATTATAAGAATGTAATCCAGTATTTCCCTCTGTCACAATAAAATAGGTAACAATTATAATTCTAAGTCAATAATACTATTTTCTTTACAGTGAATAACGTAATTACATGTCTGGCTCCCTGGAAAATAGTCACGAAAATGAGTAAATGTATCCCAGTATTTTTTCATTGACCTTCAAATGTGCTGTTATGTAAAAATTTGTCATATACGTGAATGCAGTATAAATAATATGAAGCATTTGAATCTATTAATTACATATTTTTATAAATGAGTTTTGTCTTCATGCTAGCTCCATGTCATTCAAACTGTCTCCTTTTATCTGCAATCACAGGAGCCTTTTGTTACTGAAAAGATTCTTAGAGTGAGCTGAAGCACCATATTGATCTGTCTCTCATAGCTGTTTTCTTTAAGCTAGTTTTACTTTTTTTTTTCTTTCTGGGCTATTTACTGATTGAACAGTAATTTCATTTTTTTTGTTCCTGTTCTGCAAGATCTTTTCCTCTTTTAAACTAATGTGCTAATAAGTGTTTGATATGTAAGAGGAATATTTCTGTCCATAAGAAGTATAAATCTGTTTTACCAAGCAAAAAAATATATTTAGGAATGAAGGTCAGCATAATTTCAACAAATTGCATGGTACTTTTGGAGCAAAGTTCCTGGTCCTTTCATTCCTTACAAATGAGTTCCTCTTAGAGGTCACACTCTAAAGCCCAGGAAGCATAGACTATATTAGCATCCTATTTTCTTAGTGGAAATTACATCTGCCAATAAATACCTACATCTGAATATTAGAGAACAACAGCAAAAAGAAAATATTTACTGAACTTTTCTACCAGGCTATTCTGTTAATCATTTCACATATTTGATAGAACTCTTGGGCATCAAACCAACTCTCAGTCCCATTTGTGTTTTGTAAAGGTTATTTGATTACCACGGGCGTGTGCCTCCACCTCCCCGTGCAGTAATTCCACTGAAGCGCCCCAGAGTGGCAGTCACAACAACTCGCAGAGGGAAAGGAGTCTTTTCCATGAAAGGTGGATCGAGATCTGCTGCCAGTGGGTCAACAGGCTCTAAATGTAAGTAATGTCCTTCATTTTATTTCTAGTTAAAGAAGGGTGTGGTTAACTATCATTGCACAAATGCCTATATTCAGTAATTTAACTGGATAGTTATTAAGTGCCTGCTATGTATGAACTATTAGAAAAATCATAAAATAGATAAGAAATGGTCTCTGCTTTCCACCATACTGTGTTGCAGTAGGGGAGACAAACAAACATGTCTAACAAAAACCCAGGACCAATTTGAAAAGTGTTTTATAGAGCAAATAACACTGTGCTCTAGGCTGAGATTGTGTCATATTAAAGTCTTAAAATATAATATGATGCTTTTAATGAAGAAATAATTTTACTTCCAAAGGGAGCGCATAAACTGTCTTTTCAGAGAAACATGCAGAATTAGTTCATGTTTTGAATGTTTTAGCAATTAAGTGAGGCAAACTATAGAGGCATTAAAATCATAATTTTCCATACTATGATAAATTATTATGAGATATATGTATCTAAAGATATATTTAATGTCATAAAAATAATATTTGCATCGTTTCACATTAATTAGTAAAAAGCAGCAATACAAACTTTCCAACTAAACATTGCTAAATTTTTATGTGGAGTGATTAGGAAAAAATTTAATTTGTTGTCAGAATATTATTCCTAAGGAAAGGGTAACAAAATTTCCTATATTCCTTGAGATTGCCTTTTATCAGAAAGGAAACAGATAATAAGCTGTTCAATTGGTAAAAGAATAAACACATAGAGAAAGTTGGGAACACTATATTTAATTGATTGAGGTGACATTTGACTAGAAGCCTAAAGAATGTGAGGAAAAGAGAAAGTGAGCCTGAAACTGTCGGGAACAGAGAATTCTATGGACAGAGAATGCTCAGTGCAGAGACCTTAAGTTGAATAATCAAGGAACAATAATTGGAAGGCAGTGTGGCTGCAACAGAGGCAGAAAGGGAAAGTCTAGCTAGGGATAAGGTCAGAGAGTTAGACATACGGCAAGTTCCAATGTAGCTTGGGAAGCCACTGTAAGGACTTGGATTTACTCTGCAACCCAACCATTTAAGACAAGTAAGCAAATACTATTATCCCAGTTTTATTAATGAGTAAACACAGAAAGTCATATAGCTGATAGAGCAGAGCCAGAAGCAGAACCTAGGTCTCTTAGCTCTTATACCTATGTGCTATCTACTGTAAAACACTGCTTTTTATTTCAGCACTATACTAACAAAGAATTGCTATTGAAATACTTTGTTTTTACATGAGAGCATGAGAAAAATAGTTCAAGATGCAGGAAGGTACTGATGCTTCTGAAAAAGCTGAAGTTTGGCGTACTCAACAAGCTTTGTGGACCTAAGATAACTTCAATAGCACACTAAATATATTTATGGATTTCTATGTAATTATGTATTCACGTATCTATTCCGTAGATAGATAAATACAAATTCCTTTTTGTGTCTTAGTAATAAAAGAAAAGGAGTTCCTGCAGCAACTTGTTGGATGTTGGGTCATCCCAATATGGAGTATGTACAAGATTTTATCTCTCAAAAGTCTTCAAGCGTTGAAAATTTCAGTGACTTGTTTCTTACATTGGAATAAATAAACAATGAAGTGGTTTTTATGGAAACACAAATTGCCACAGTCAGCTACTTGGAGAAATAATGTGAAGAGACTTTACAGTTTGTAACCATTACAACATGTAACATAAGAATCTATTCTTAAGTGCAATGGTAAATCACACATGAGATTTAATTCTATCTTTTCTTTCTGGTTTTTCTTTTTGGCGGGGGTGGGCAGGGATAAGATGTAATAGTCTTGAGAAACGGCTAAATCTGAAAATTGGACTACTAAATACAAACCAGAGATGGTTTGAAAGAAATATCGTGTGTTTTATTTTTTAGCAGCAATCATTCTTTGGAACTGTGAATCCTAGAGTATCTTTGTTACTCTGAAAGGCGTAAATAAGCAATAGGTAGAAAAATAAATTTTGGGATATAAAGATTTTGTAAGGATAATCAAGACAAATGATCATTTAAAATCTATTCAACATATAATTGTGTTAATTTTACTTAAGTTTTTTAAGTGATACATCTTTATTATATTAAGCTTAAATCAAAAGGAAATATTTCAAATAAAACACTGTGGAAAATCACTTTAAAAGATTTATCATGAGGATTAAATCTAAGCTTGGAGGTAGAACAGTCATGTGGCTGCCAGCATCAATAAGACAGCTCTAAGGGATTACTGCAGAGAGACAAGCAAGCCATAGGCTATAGGTACAACCCCAATAAGATACCTGAGTTGGGGAGGTTGGCAGGCCTGGTTTACATAGTAGAGAAGGGGGCCCCGGGGCCTACTCCAAGGCAGCCGTGCAGCAGAGTTTCTGTGTAGTGGTCAACATCAATGGTCAGAGATTACCTAGAAACAGGGGCAGCCAGCCATGATGTACTTGAGCATGATACCAGCCCCCTGTTATCATAGAAAGACAACAGACTGATCAATTCTATTCATTTCATATAGTTCTATACATTTAGAGCTCAAGTCACAAAAGTTAACTATTGATTAGTGTTATTTTAGTGAAACAGTAATAAAAAAATATCTATAATTCACTGGCAAGCATAACTAGAATCATGATTTAATATTCTTTTTAAGAGCATATTGGCAGATTATATTATGTATACATATATGTACATAAAATATATATGTGCATGTATAAATATCCATTAATTGATATTACTTTTTATAATTAGGTTGCTTCCTGGAAATAACAAAAATTTCAAACTCAAATCACAAATGAAAAAGTTCAGTAAAGCTTAAAATATAGTATGTTAATATTGATATAATCCGAATAAAGGCTTACTAAGGTATATATCTTACTCTTTTATTAATAGCTGTTTGCCAGTATTAATGGTATGGCAAGTTCAGAAGAGGAAATTAATGTTATAGCTTGGATAATTTTCATTTCTTATTTCATAATTTGTAATATGATTGAATTCTGCTGAGAACTATATAAAGAAAAATATATTCATGTGGTAATTTACCAAAGTTGAATACTGATAAGCATTTTAAATGGATTGCTTTAAATAAGTAGATTGCCACTAGGTATTTCTGTCCCTTTTCAAACCAAATTGAACTAAAACTCTAATCAACTTGTCCTGTCCTGACATCGTAGAGTCATAAAATAAAGAAAATGTGATATTGCAGATTGACATTTTATAAAAGAGAAAACATGAATATCAGTGAGCTTTAGTTGTAGTTTCTAAGAGGAAAAATTGGTGCCCTCTGGAAAAAATATGCTATCAAATCAATTTCTTTAAAGAATTAATTTAAATTCTAATATCTAACAATAAAGACTCTAGTAAGTTTGAATGCCTTTGGGGACCTGTCAATGAACTTTCAGTGACAGAATAGGTGACAAACTAATATCAATGCCCTAAAGCATCAAACAGGAAATTAAAGACAGTTCAATTAAAGTCAAAATTGAGAAATTATCCCCAGTGCTAAGAAAGCTTTCTTATGTTGGGTCCCTCCCCTCAAAAGCATGTGACTGAAATACAGAGATAAAGCATCAACCAGAGAAATAATATTAATACTCAGCAACATATCATTAAATATTCCCATCCATCCATTATCCTAGGCAAAATACATTCTGCTTTAGACATTTTAAAGCGAGAAAGTACTATTGGCTGGAGAGGTTAGAGAAGACTTAATAGAGAATTTTGAATTGAGTTTAGAAGAACCAGTGGATTCGAAAAGACGAAATGAGAGAGACTTGCTTTCTGGGAGGCAGGATGTGGGTCAAGAACAGAGACTTTGTTGTCAGATGCCTGGGGTGGAGTCTGTTCCACAGCATACTACCACGGTAGCCTTGGGGAAATCCTTTAACATCTATATACATCTAATTTCTGTCTGGAAATTGAAAATAATATACTGTGTATCCAACAGTGATTTTAAGAATTAAACTACTTATGTATATAAAATACTTAGGCACATAGTAATGTTTAATGAGTTTAATTATTGCTACCACTACTATTATTATAGCAGCTAAGAACATGGAATATAAAGCTGCTGCACCTATAAACCAATAGTGCCTCAGCCATTTATTATCTGTCCCTTAGTTTCCTCATCTATAAAATGGGAATGATAAGCTTACTGCCTTCTCTGTGGAGTTGTTGTGAGGATTAAATGAGCTGGCACATGTAGAGCCCTTAGAACAGTGTCAGCTATTATAAAAGTCTTAATAGATAATAAACTATAATGGTAAAAATATATGAAGTAAATATTTATTGCTAGAAATGTCAGTTAATAAACTGAGGACATTATGGTTAAAGAAGATGTAAAAATGGGTAAAAGAATAATGAAAAACTGTGCAGAATATTGAAGAGTTTGGATTTCATGCAGGCGCAAGATAAACTCTCAGCAAAGTGCTACGTGCTCAAAATGATATTTTAGGAAATGTATATGATGAGTGTCATTAGTTGGCGAGGACTGCCATAACAAAGTACCGCAGTCTGGGGGGCTTAAACAACAGAAATTTATTTTCTCACAATGATGGAGGCTGGAAGTTGGAGATCAAAGTGTCAGAAGGCTTGGTTCCTTCTGATGGCTGTGAGGTAAGGACCTGTGTCAATCCTCTCTCCTTGACAGGTTGATGACCATCAACTCCCCATGTCTTCACACCATCTTCCCTCTGTGTGTGTCTTGTCTAATAAATTTCCTCTTCTTATAAGAACAAGTTTAGACCCCTCTATGTTACAAGGGCAGCACCAGTCCTCTAACTTCAGGCCAGTTGTTTACTTTATTATGGGATTTACACTCTTCTGCTTCATGTCATAGTTATTTGTATGCACATCTAATCTACTTTTAATTACAAATTCAAGTTAATTATGCTTTACACAGAATATACTCTAAATATTTGTGAAATGTGAGATCACTATTATTTTTGCTTTTTGCATTTGGCTTTTTGTCATACCTTTTATATTTGACTTGGAGCCACATCTGTAGAAATGCTACAGCTCAGAGAAAATTGGTTACAGAAGATGTTGCATCAGTCAGTGAAACAAGGAGACAAATTCTGGCCTACACTCCAGGGTCTAAAAGAAATCAGTGTAACGTGTATTTTCAAACTACATGATTTGAGATCTACTACTTCTATTACTTACAAGGCTGTTTTTGCTTGCTAAAATCTAAATTATCTTTTGTTATAACTCAAAGACCTATTCTTTTATGACTATTTTCTCAATCACTTATCATCAAAGTTAATTTATCTTTTCTCTTTGCCCACATACTTGACACAAGTTCAATTAATCAGCATCTATCACAGACAGGCACCTGGTACTAATTTTCCATCAATGAAATAAACATGACCCATGAGGAACTGATACTCCATAGACAAAATAGACATGATCTTTCATTTTCAGGCTCTTACAATCTGGTTGGAAGCAGGAGGAACCAAAAAATTTAAAAATGGGAGATAATTTCATTACCAAGTGACAGAAGATTTTGACTACTTCTCATTTTTTTTTGTATTTTATGTTCTATATATAATAAATTACTTATATATTTATTTTTGATCACTAGTTATAGAGTCCATGAGACCAGGGAGACACTTCACTATGATGAGAAGCTCATGATGGGCACTGGGGATAGCGGGGTAGGACCTAAACACCCGTGGCTTTGGAGTCAGGCAGCCCACTCTAAACTTGAATTGTTGCCTCTTTGCGAAAGCAATCTTTTTTTAAGAACATTTTTTTTTTTAATTTTTAGCAACAGGGTATCACTCTATCACCCAGGCTGGAATGCAGTGGCATGAACGCATAGCTCACTGTAACCTCAAACTCCTACATTCAAGCTAGCTCCTCTCACCTCAGCCTCCTGAGGAGCTAGGAATACAGACATGCACCACCATGCCTGGCTTATTTTCTTATTTTTTGTGTGTGGAGATGGGGATCTCAGCATGTTGCCCAAGCTGATCTCGAATTCCTGGCTCAAGCAGTTCTCCTGCCTCAGACTCCCAAAGCCCTCGCATTATAGGCTGAGCCATTAGGCCCAGCCTGCTAAGCAATCAAACACATGACTTAACTTCTCTAATATTCACCATTCAAATCCAAAAGTAAATTTAACAATTCTGATTTGTATATTTGGAATAAATGAAATGATATACATGCAGTTTCTAATGAAATGCAAGATGAACAGATGCAGACAATAGGCATTTAATGAATACTTATTGAATAAAATCCACCCATTCTCCATTTTATTTTCTTTCAAAAAAAAAAAATGGGTATAGCTGTATGTAGGCATAGGTATTATGAATACATACTATATATGCATATATATGTAATTCCCTATTCTAGGAAGTTTTATCTATGGGGTGGGTAATAACCAGTTGCTCCAATTTATTTTAGCAAAATATCTTAAAGTTTGGCTTTTGAAAATTATTTCCGAGGCTAACAAATTAGCCTTGTCATATTAAATTAGCTTAGAATTTGTATTATATATTATGTTACAAGGGTATCACCTGTCCTGTAACTTCAAGCCAATTGTTCATTTTCTTATTATTGGGGCTTTTCGTATATATAAACAGAGACAGATAAAAGCAGAGCAGATGCATTGAAGTGATCACGATAAAATTTTCTAGAAACCTTCCTTTTCTTTTCCTGAATATTATTGAATTAAACACAGTGGTTCCTTAATTCATAGTGAAGGAAAGAACTGAAACTGACAATCGTATTTTTCACATCAACTGAAGCTGCATGGCGCAATAAAAAGTGTAGAATTAAAATTAAGGAAATCTAGGTTTGAGCCTGAACTCTTATGTGGGTATATCATGTAATTTTGGGAAAATCACATTCATCTTTAAATTCTCAGGTTCTTTAACATTGAAATACTGTACTTAAAAGTGATTTATATAAGTGCTATGCAAATTATATTTATTTATTTTTGACATTCAAATAATGTATTAATTGATGGGGAAAATAAATAACATAATGTGATTTATTGTCAAAGTCCACATGATTACAAACATTTTTTCAGTTTTCTGGATATTTGATAGGAAGGATAATATTGGTAAGGGAGGTTACATAGTTATCTAGAGCAGAATTTCTATAGTTTGGCATGATCAGCATTTTGGGTTAGATAACTGTGTGGAGTGGTGTGGGCTATCCTGTGCATTGTAGGATGCTGAGCATACTAAATGCCCATTAGAAGCCAGTAGCACTACCATCTCCAGGTCATAACAAGCAAAAATGTCTCTCCAGACTCAAGAAGTAGCCAAGACTATTTGTAGAGTCTGCTTTGCAGGACCCTAGATGAACATTTGCTGCTCCCCACTGTAAGAGAGGAATTGAGCAGCCTGCATAGGGTTAGAAACTCACTTCAACATTTCCTAGTAGGGTCCAGGAAAGAACTGACAGGATCTCTCCGGATTTCCATGTTACATTTATTTGAGCATCGTTTCTTGAGCAACATTAGCCTATTAGACCCAAATTATATAATAATCCAGCTGTGATCTGAAAAATGTTCTTACAGAGCTAGACATGAGTCTAGACTTAAACAAAACCTTGGCTCCCTGGAGACTTCTAAGTTCCGGTCAGATGAGTCTATATTTCTAATTGTTTTCTAATGTAGTTTCTATAAAGTGGAGTAGCGGTGGTTTATTGGTTTATGTTTTTTTAAGGCAATACATAAATTTAAATTAGTCAACTGCATTCCTGGGCTAAGGAGTAGCTCTAGTTGCTAAGAAATATATTGTTAGTTTTCAGCCATAGTCCTATTTCTTCTGCACTGAAATGTAATAAGATAAAATATTTTCTATTAAATCTGATACATTTAAGTAAAACTACATATGCTTTCATCAAAGAGAATGAGCACCATTCTTCAAAGCAGAATCAATTTGCAATTGTGACAGATGATGTTTTTCAAATTCAGCTGCAATTCCACAATGGTACTTTGATGTCTTTGAAGTAATTGACATAAGGAGTGATTCTCTATTTTACACTGTTCTACTTTCAGTTTAGTAGTTCATAATAGGGATACTCCAGAGGGCCCATGCTTCTTGCAGTTTTTATTTTGCAAACTACTTTACATATTAAATAAAAGTCTGCTTTAAAAAGAAAATCTGATCTCACAATGGAAAAGTTTTCTCATTTTTATATAAAAATCTGTTCTTCCCTTGAGACTTAGTGTTTCTGATCCATAACATGTTATGTATATTACATCATTTATCTTAATTGACAAATAGTTCTATTTTATGGAAACATAGATTGCATTTTTTTATTTTTTCAAAAAACACCTGAAGACTAAAGAATCAAGCTAAACACTCTAATTTCCTCAGAAATTTCCAGGGAATATCTACTCTGAGATGATTAGAAACCTAAAGGAAAAGAGACAGAAGAAAAATAGACTGGAATCAAATGTGTCCAAGATCTTGAAATATGGCTCTTGACTGAGGTGTGAATACTGCCAGTCCACCCAATAAAAGCGTGGAGACAGGCGTAGCTGTTGCATAGTGATAGCTTTAAAATCTTCAATCTCTGATAGTTGTGGATTCAAAATATTTCTAAATTCCATTATCCATTTACATAACCTTCAGTCAAAAGGTTTAGGATTAAATGCTCATGTCACTGAGAATCTCTATTTTTGTAACTGGCAAAAATCATCCAGTATTTCAGGATCACTAGAAGTAATGAAAAGTTGGTAAAACTGAAATGGTTCTCAGAAAAATAAGGATAGTACAGTATTTTTTTTTACAAATATAAATATATTTTATTTAAAGAATTATCTTTGAAATATGAAATTGTTCTTTCCTTAAGCCCTTTTTTCTTACAAAATAATTACTATAGTCAATAGTAGGCTATTTATTGTTGTTTTTAACATCCATTCTTGGCAAAATGAAATGTGTTAGTCTTATGTTAGTCCCCATTTGTTGTCTTTGAAACGATACTAAACTGTAAACATCTAGCATGGGAACTAGTACTATTGAAAATATCAATGGGAACTTCAGTGATTTTCCTTTCCATCAAGCCCAGGGCTTAGAGGGAGGCATGCACAACCCACTGCCTTATTTTTTGTTAGAAAGACTAAAGCTTCATAGCAACTTTGAGAAAGCTGGAAAGACAGTTTCTTTAAAGGATAAATTTCCTGGTTTCCAATCTTCAAGGAGCTGGGTTAAAATATCATTGATTGCTGAAATATATATTACAACATAGTACCTCAAAGTAGTATTAACATACCTGTCATGATTTAATTATTTCTTCATCTGAATCCCTCTCACATTGCAGATTTACTCTATTTGCTAAAATTTAATTTAGCATCATTTGGTTATTTTATAAAATATTTCTAAATTCCATTATCCATTTCCATAACCTTCCATCAAAAGATGCAGGATTAAATGCTTGTGTCACTGAGAATCCCTATGTGTATTTGACAGAATTATCCAGTGTTCCAGGGTCTCCAGAAGTAATGAGAAGTTGATACAATTTAAAAATATCCTATGTGATTTGACACAGACTTCAGAAAACACGGGGTGCCTGTGAGTTGGGTCCTAGGTGAGTTATGGTGCATCTGATGCTCTGTTGTTTTCTTTCTTCTTTCTCCTTTCCAGTGAAATCAGATGAGTTACAGACCATCAAGAAAGAATTAACCCAGATCAAAACTAAAATTGACTCCTTGCTAGGACGCCTGGAGAAGATTGAGAAACAGCAGAAGGCAGAGGCAGGTAAGTGAAAAGGATCCATGGTCACAGACAGGTGGGAATTAAACCAGTGAAATGTTGTCAATCAGAGAGACAGTATAGGGCCAGGGAGACGCTGGCTGAGTTTAACAGCATTTAATACAGATACGTCAACAATGTCTTAAGCCAAGAATTGCAATGATGAAATGGGATTTTTTTTTTTTGCTTTTAGTGTACATGAACCAATTTTTCTAAGATTCATACTAAAAAGAAAGTACAAGGAAAAATGTTTTGATGGTATAATCCACAGTAGCTGAATCATAATTGAAAGTTTATCTCAATATCAAGTAACCTTTCAGAAAATAAAATCAATTAACAGAATAATGCTATCAGGCTAACATAATATTCATATATAATTAGATTAACTACAACAAAATTTGACAGGTTTCAAAAGTTATTATAATACCAACTCCTGCCTTTGCTACCACCCTGAAAATCTTAAGTACCCAAGTTCAGGAACCTCAAGATAAGGCATGCCCCTGGATCCCACAGGCCAAGTTATTTGATTATATATTTTATAATTTTATATCCTCTGTCCTTTGAATTATCAGCCCTGACCCAGCTCCTTTTTCGTACAAGTCTAATGCTTTTTTCATATGGCTACAGCTATTTTTTGAGTCACAGTATATGAGAACTGGTATAAACTGGTGGTAGGCCACAATTTGAAAAGTTCTGCAAGAAGCCTCCTTGGAGTTAAGATGGGGATTAGGAAGATATCCAGTAGGTAGACAGACTCATACGTCTTCAAAACCCAGCCATTGCTATGACCCTTGTAACTTCCCTGTATCTGTTTACGTACTGACATTCGGTATAAAACTTAATTTGCTGGAAGAGTTCCACTTCTTATAAAATAAATAAATACAGTGTGAAAGCCCTTAATAAATCCAACCTCTTCATTTTGCAGATAAGAAAACAAAGGCTCAGGAAGGTAAATTGACTTTTCTAAACCTGTACATCTAGTTAGTGATAGGCCTGGCTCTCAAACACAGGGCTTGTTACTGAATTCAGTGCCCTTTTACATTTACAGCCTCAATTTCAAGTTCTCCCCAGGGTTCTGTCCCAGGATTTCACTGAAGTGAAGTAAGCCTATCTGGGCAACACGTAAACGATGAGAACTCATGGGAACCTAGGTCCCCTGAGCTAACACACACAGGAGCCTGTCAGTTTGTTGACTCATCGCTGGGGTGAGGGCTGGAGCTTACCTTTGGAGGTAATATAGGGCTCAAGAATGAAAAGAAGCAGATTTGAGGTGGGAGTGTAGCATAATGGATGAGAGAAATAAACTGGTTCAAATCATCACATACAACATATACAATTTCCTTATTTGTAAAATGAGGATACTCATGGCTGCCTCACATGGTGAGTAATGAACAAAGTAGCATATATAAATTATATAGCACAGAGTTAAAAATATAATATTTGGAGTTAAGGATTATACAACACACACATGTACAGGCAAATGGGCATTTCCTCCTACTTTCATACAGCCCATTAAAAACAAACAAACAAACAAACAAACAAAAGACAAACCATGTACCTCCATGTACCTAGCACATGGTTGACTCACGCTAACACTTGTTAAGGTAGATGAGGAATGATAGACTAAATGGAATTTTTTTAATTAAAAATTTCTATCACAAATGTGTTTTCTATTCAGAAAGGTACACTGCCTACACTTTTTAATAAAAAAAATTTATATTTGAGAAAGTTTTTATATGCTATGGCACTAATGTGTTACTGTAACTGAAATATTCTGTGATGTTGCCTAAATCAATATTTCCCTTTGAGGAACTCTGTAAAATTCATTATTATGTAAAACAACCCTTACAGCAAAGGACTTTGATAACCAATTTGCACTTCAGTTTAAAGGATTATGGAGAACTCATTTAAATATAAATCACCTCAAAGAGAAAAATGTGATCCTTATTCCATCATATTATACCTTTCAGTTTCCTACAATGACTAATACCTTCCACATATCTTTTTGGAAGATCATTTAGAAATGTAACACTAAAATTCAAAGCTTGCATCTTCTTTTCGTGAGATGTCACTCACTTTTGTACATGTTTAAACTTTCCAGTCATAAAACTCTTGCTTGTAAAATAATGAACTTAGTTCTTTGATATTTATGTCTTTAACTTTTTATGAAGAAAATGAATTAATTTGATTTGGAACTCCATTCTTTTAGTAATTGTTTCCTGAATAGTGTCTGTATTTGTAGAGATAAAAGATGAATGTTTTCTGTATTTTCCTACATTTTCTTTATAAAAAGAAATCAGGGTTGGATGGAAAGAATTAACACTACATTATGGAAAGTGGAGTGAAATGCACTAAAACTCATTAATAAATGCTCAGTGCCTCCTTATTCAATGTAAGGGGACATTCATTATAATGCTTAATTTGTTGAAAACTAATTACTTGGTAGCTACCATTTACTCTTCATTAGTATTCTTGCATAAATTTCTCACTCCTAATTTACTATTAGTTATTTGATAGTGAAATTTTTCATAAGAGAACTAATGGCAGGAAGGAGATAGAGAATTGGAAAATGTGGAGAATGACACTGAACATGGGGTATGCCCTGAAGTCAAGTTCCATAGTATCTATTTTTTTATTTTGAAAGTGAACTCCTAATCTTTCAGTAATAATATCAATAAAATATAATTACATTATTTTGGATTTTCTATATCTTAAATTGCTCAAATAGATGTGTGTGGTATCCTGTCATTTGAGATTGTAAAGTTCCTCAGAACAAGATCATGTCTTCTCTTCCCTAACTCTACCCAACACCAAGTATTATGTACTGGGTACAACTTAGGAAGTCATTTAACCCTTTTAGGTCTCAATACTTTCAAATATAAACTAGAGGAATGGATTATGGCCTCAAATGTATATTCCAGCTTCTAAAATTATGATTAGTGTAAATCCACCATGCATACATTATTTTTTCCATTATATCATACAACTTCTTTGGGGATATGGTGACTATGTAGATTATAGAAAACAACAAGTAACACTTAAATTCAGTTTGGCTAGGAATTTTGCCTCATTCTTAGATGATTCTTTTAAAAGAGCCACATATAAGTTCCCACATATGCATAGCACAAGTTATGTGCTTTACACAGTGATATTAAGTGACCAAAAACAGCAAAAGGCACAAGAAGGAAAAGTAAAGACTGCAGATCATGCAATGGGCACAGCTACTCCATGGATAACTACATTTAAAAGAATTACATTTCAAGTATAGACTTTCTGAAGTGAAAAGGCAATTAGACATTATTTAGTTCAATTTTATTCTCACTATTATGCCTGATACATGAGCAGCCAAGTCTGACTGGGACAATTCCAGTGATAACTTTGGGATGTTAGACCTAAGCCTGAGGGAAGTCACAAACAGGAGTCACATGGGATAAATTCATCCTGCCCATATGTTTGGTATAAGACAAGAAATTTTCAAAAATGATGTCCAAACATTGGAATATTGTAAATAAATCTCAAAATATGAGTTCTTTTGAAAACCTTGACCTTTTTAATACTGCTACTCACTCAATCACCCAACATATGACATGCACTTTCAGTTTGCTAGTATCTTTGTCCAGCCAGTTCACATGATTATGTTATCTGCTTGGTCCCATTTATGTTTCAGATGCTTATTGCAGGTTTTCCTTACACTGAGCCAAAATGTATTTTGCTTTCACTTGATTCAGTTATCACTTTTATGTTGTTTGAAAAGAAACATAATGTCTAATTCTTTGTGATACAAGAGTCAATTAAGTATTTAAAGGGAGCTGCCGGCCATTGTGGCTCACACCTGTAATCCTAGCACTTTGGGTGGCCAGGGCGGGTGGATCGCTTGAGGTCAGGAGTTTGAGATCAGCCTGGCTAACATAAGTAAACCCCATCTCTACTAAAAATACAAAAGTTAGCTGGGTGTGATGCCTGTAATCCCAGCTACTCAGGAGGCTGAGGCAGGAGAATTGTTTGAACCCAAGAGTGGAGGTTGCAGTGAACTGAGATTGTGCCACTATACTTCAACCTGGGCAACAGCAAGACTCACACTTTCTTTCTCTCTCTCTCTTGCTCTCTCTCTCTGTGTATATATACACACGCACACACACTCACATATGTACATACATATACATTTAAAGGTAGCTATGGTGTTCTCACCCTTCCAAAACCTTTGAACAGATAATTGATATTATGGCCTATGGATATTCATCTTCACTGCATTCAAATTTTGATCACAGCATCTTAGAGGCCTTTTTGGTCTAGAGAAATATCAATGGTTCCTTCAGTTGCTTCTCATTTAACTTGGTTTTGCATCTTAAACTATTGCAGTCTCTCTTCTCTAGTCATTAATTTGTCAACACAGATTACATTACTCAGAATGGAAAATGTTGCTCCAGATATGATCTGACTGCTGCAGCCTGTAACGTGACTACTATTTCTGTTCTGAATACCTTACTGCTCTCACCGATACTTCAGATCGAATTGGTGATGCTTCTGGTTACAGATGATGAATTTAACACATGAATTAAGCACTGTTCTCTCTTGAAGCTGTGTTAGAAACAAGGATAGGGTTCAGCAGCTGAACAGGAGGTAGATACGCATACCTGACTTAGCACATCCTAGAACCCCAAGTTCAATTTTAATCACAAACTCCCAAAAGGCTCAGAATTCAAGGCATCACATTCCTCTGGAAAAGAGGAAACAAATGGTTGAAAGTCTGTTTAGGAAACAGATTCCTATGTCCCCATACCCAACATTCCTGCTGCACTTTGAAAGAAGGCTGGAGAAGTTTCCTCTAGAGAAGGTAAAACAGTGGGTTGCAGGGCTGGTAGATGACAAGGAAACTTGAGAGCACTTAAAAGCAGAGAGGGGGAAAGTTTTCGTAATTACTGTAGAAATGCCCACTTTCTCCCTGACTCAGCTACCAGAGCACTGGCAGGACACTAGAATAATCTTCAGTGGAGAGCATGAGTTGC